TCTGCACAAAATTTTCACAATCTATAAATATTTTTTTTGCAGTAAATACAGAATTAACATAAATTTGCACAAGTTTTAATGTATTTTTTTTAATTGACCAATCAGATAATGACATGTTATTTATTTGTAGCACATTAAATGTATATAAACTGGTATTTGTTTTGACAACTCATTCTCTGGAAAATATGTCCGAGCTTAGCTTATACTGTCGACTGTAACTTGTGAAGTTTTATTATGCTAATCACGAAAATGCAACAGCAAAGATGAGAGCTTATAAAACAAGGAACGATTTAAAACAGGATCCTTTTGCTCTGTCAGATGAGTAATTCATCTGATAGAAAAATTTAAAACCATAAAGACACTGCATAATATTCCTTCAAGTAGAAGATATTCCTTAGAAACTGAGCTTAAAGTTATGGCTAGTCTGTCAATAATTTGATTAAATGTGCAACTTTGGTAATACAGCAAAATCGATGAACACTTGAAAATTTGTTTTAATTTCATAAACCCCATTTCATACCCATTTGTTTCAAAATATGGTGTTGTTTTCATAATTGCTTACTTTGCATTATAATGGTCTTAAAACTTGCGTTCACTTAATTTTATCCTCTATGATAAATCATAAAAACTAATCAAATCATTCTTGATAATGGCTGAAAATACATGAACAAAAAAAAGAATGAAACATAAACTTTGGATAGCTTGTCCACAATTTTGATTCCAGTGTATGTCTTATTCAAAAATTGGAAAAATACAATAAACAATAAACACATAATATAATAAACAATAGAATGACTTCAGCAAAACTTGTGTATGTGCGTGGACATAGGAATCAATAATGCATGGTGACTGTTACTTTTCTGCTTCACTGCAATCTTCAGACCAAGTTGGTCTGATAATTGCATTGATACTTATGTCCACATTGATTATATCTATAAATATTCCATCTCCAATATTGAGCATTTTCTTCTGTAAATATACTAAATTTTAAAATATATATCTTCTGTAAATATATATAAATTTTAACATATATATAATAAAAGTATAGCAACAGTCTGTTTCATGCTTGAAAGCAATCTTCGGGCCATTAACAGTAAATTGTAAACAATTTAGTTAAACTTTAAAATTTGATTATGCTTTTTCTCATATTTTAGTTGTACTGCATTGCACCATATATGGCTTATCTTTCTATTTGTAAGATTAATTTGGATTTAATATAATTTTGTATTAATCTCCTAGTAGTATTAGTAACATCTTGTACAGATGTATTGGTATTTTTGACATTTTACATTGACTGGTTATTTTTGTTAACATCTTATATAAAGAATTTTTAGTCAACAGTTGCATATTAATTTACTAAGTAATTCTATACATTTAAATTATTTACTGGTTTCTTAAAGAAGCTATTTATTTATCAACTATAAAAAATTTTATGTAGGAAACTCACAAAGCATATAACTTGTTTAACATTTTGTTAAATTACCTCTCGACCCCATTTTTATTTCTTAGGATATGGCATTGTTAGTTTGTATAATTTATGTATCCATTGACATCCGCTCATCTTTATGTCTGTGCTGCAATTAGCTGCCAATCTATGAGTCAGGACCCATTTATAAAAAATAAAATTGTAATTTTTGCTTTTTCACTTAGTTTAAATTTGACGTTGGGCATATTTGATTCATTGATCAGAGTAAAACCCACAAACCTTATACTGCCCCTTTCTTTCTTTTTTTATGATAAGAGGTTGTATTTTGCTTTTAAATCTAGATAAAGCATTCACTCTCCAGTAATTTACAATCGCCTGATGAGATGCATTGATATGCATCGAAACACGACTGCAATTGTATAGTGATTTCGACATGTTTTTGGTGTAATATCCTAAAATAAATGTCTGTGTGAATATATATATATATATATATATATATATATATATATATATATATAGTCATCCACAGACAGTTTCACTGTATCAAAATTCCTCAGTGTGGCTAGACATCCGATACTGATTTGATATATATATATATATATATATATATATATATATATATATATATATGAAAATGGATTAAATTTGCTATATTTTTTTTTTTTTTTAAACATCATTTTCAATGGATACTTATATTTGAATAGAAGCTCTGTTTTTTTAATTAAGCAGTATTTTTATCCAACTATATCTACCAGCCTGAATATTCTTGTCAGAAAAATTTGATTTCTTGAATATTCAGGCCAGTGGATGTAGTTGGATAAAAATATTGTTTAATTTAAGAAGAAAAAAAAAAGCAGAACTTCTACTTGAATATGAGTATCCATTGAGAATGTTTAAACAAGATAAAGTAAAAATATATATATATATATATATATATATATATATATATATATATATATATAAATGGGGCATCTATTTTCAAAAACAAATTATTCACTATAATAATGTTTGAATTAATAAAAATGTCAGTTTAAAAATAAATACATAATTCTTTAGAAATTACTGGGCAGATATAATGGTTTTGAGAAAAAATGGTGGGGATAGAACCTTGTTTGTTGCAACATTTTCCGTGGCAAAGTACACTGAATCAAATGGTGGTTTTCCCCTACAAAGGGAGGTGCAGGTTTGATCTCTGTTGGGGGAACACATTTTTCTTTACTAAGATTTCTCAAATATGCTACCTATAGACATAATACAATCTATTTAGGAAATAAAAACAGGGCATCTATTTCAAATACAAACTATCCACTATAATAAGTAATAAAAATGTCAAATTAAAAAAGAATCCCTTAATTCTTTAGAAATATATATATATATATATATATATATATATATATATATAGAGAGAGAGAGAGAAGACTCTCCTATCCTGGATGGTGCCTTTCATTTTACCCTTATACAACATGCTAGCAGGGGCTGTTGTGGAGAAAATCAAGTAAGAGAAAGACATATTTCATTTGTGCTTTCTTAAGTGCAATACTAGCCCAGCCTTGCTGCAGGCAACAAAGCCACAATGACAAATGAAATTTATTAAGGTAGGATTTTGATGGCGTCTCTGCTTCAGAGCTTGACAAAGCTGATCACGGTGCTTCAGTCTACTGTCTTCAAAACCCTTTAACAATGAAACATGTCTTATACCACTCCTTTCAGTTTCATGCTTGGGCTTCCTAGGTTTTCAGATCAAAGCAGTACGAAAAATAAGAACTAGATGAGATATCCCTTGACATGGCAAGCTGTTGGTACCATGTGTTTGAATTACAGGATTGCAGTAATTTAATCTATAATAATGATAATTCCTCATCTCAAAAATTCAATCACAAATTAATAGTATTTTTATTTAATTAAAAACCCTTTTTCTGTTTTTGTTTTAAGGAAGTTTTCCTATTTTTTATGCATTCTGTTGGCTTGAAAATATATTTTCTTTGATTTGAATGCATATGTTCATTACATTATGAATATGTAACAATGAAAACTATTTTTATAAATTAATAAGTCTTGGAAAATAGCAGTAAAAGTTGAACACTTAAAATCTAAAAAAAAATTGAGACATTTCAAGTTGTCTTTCAATTTGTCTTTTTAGAGTAAGAGTGGACGTCCAACTGAATATATGTATATAAACCCATTTCTATATCATTAGAAAGCTACATTATACAGAGATAGGCAATTCAACCATCTCTATGTATTAAACTCTTCTGTTGACATAGTAGAAATAGAACTTTGTAAATAAAACTGTTTTTAGTAAAGAAAAAAATGCTGTTTGTATAATGTTCAGGAATTACTGATCATAGCAAGAAAATGTGGAACATCAAAAAGGTTTTCATATTTTATATATATAATGCAACTAAAAAATTACTTTTTTTTAAATATGGATAAACTAGTAAACATATGGTAAAATGTATTTTCACCTAAATGTAAAAGTATCATGCAACAGTAGAATCAATCCTATCAATGCTGAGGAGATTTCAGTTGTTTAAAAATATCTGCAGTTTTAATAGGAGCAGGCACTCCTCCCCAGTTTTTTGAACAGGAGAATAGGTTTATCCCTTGTTTCTATTTTAGCATTGGGTTTCCATTTCCTTCTAAAGTCTTGTCAGTTTTTTTCACTCCCAGTAACCCCTTGCATCTTAGTGGCAATATCATCTCTGGAATGAATTAATTTAGAAAAAAAAATACATCCTGATCAAATTGTTGAAAAATCTGAATATATGATGTTAGTGCAATTAAATTGATATATCTTAAAAACCATTGAAATTCAAGTCATACAAGGCAATTTTATATGAAAGTAAATTGATTTCTCTTTCAAAAGATACAAAATTTAACCTGGCCATGAGGTTTTGGAAATCTACAACTTTTACAAAGCTGGAGGTGCCAGCTGATCATATGATTGCTGTTAATACTGTGTATTGAAATAGAGTACGAACTGATTGCAGGTGCATTCTGGCACCCCCAGACTGTAAGTATCTGAAAATTGTGGGCACATTTTAGTGCTTTCAGCCTTAAAGGGTTCATAATTTTATAATAATCCACAAATGTTGTATACAATAGACATTCATATATTGTGCATATGGAACACATTCCTACATTCTCATTCTTCTGGTGATGCAAAAATTATGATTATTCATTATTAGTTTAATATTTAGAAAGCAGTGAACATAAGAAAACGCTAGAAAAGTTCTTAATATTTTAGAAGTACAATACAATTTTTTTTTAATGTTTTAGAAGTGCTACACAATTTTTTAATGTTTTAGAAGTGCTACACAAAGTTTCTAATGTTTTAGAAGTGCTATACAAAGTTTCTAATGTTTTAGAAGTGCTATACAAATTTTAAATTTACTTAATATTTGCCTTTTCAGGGTTTTTTTTTATATAGCATTGGTAAACCAGTAAAAATCTATGATATAATGAAAATACTTTGGTTTTCATTTAATTTTCATCTTTTCTATTAAATATGATTTGATATTTTTTCTGTTTCATTCAACAAATTTTTTTGGTAATTTTCTTTAAAATAATCTAGATATTCATTTTCAGTACAATGGTTTCTTATTTGGCCTTTTATTGTTATCTGTGGTGCGAATATGCCAGGTAAGTCAATTCCATTGTCAAATTGGATACACCAAAAGATCCCATTAACAAGACACCAGAAAATGTAGTTATTAAAATGGTTTTGTATTTTGGCATTGTGGGGAGGGGATTCAATTTGCTTTTCTCTATTATTTTTTTGATATGTCTTTTTTTACTAAAAAAAAAAAAAAAAGATAACTCTGATTCGAATTATATCTTACTTAACCTTATCTATAATATTGAAATTTCTCTTAGATTACCTTCTAAGTGTACTTAGTAATGTGTACCAATTCTGTTCTATTGACTAATAAGAAACTGTTAATTAGTCAAATTGGACATAAAACAAAAATTATTATTTACACTATTTACGTTCGGACTATTGTTCTTTTTGTTATCACAACATTTCATCCATTGTGCTGTCAAAAATAATTTACTTAGTGAATTCATCACTTAAACCAATGATTTAATCCACTAGGTAACATAGTAATTGTGAGTTCAATCCCTTGGCCAGGTAGTGTGTTCTTGGACTCAGTAGAAACAGGGTGAGCAATAACTGAGCAGTACGAAAAATAATAACTAGATGAGATATCCCTAGACATGACAAGCTGTTGGTACCATGTGTTTGAATTACAGGATTGCAGTAATTTAATCTATAATAATGATAATTCCTCATCTCAAAAATTCAATCACAAATTAATAGTATTTTTATTTAATTAAAAACCCTTTTTCTGTTTTTGTTTTAAGGAATTTTTCCTATTTTTTATGCATTTTGTTGGCTTGAAAATATATTTTCTTTGATTTGAATGCATATGTTCATTACATTATGAATATGTAACAATGAAAACTATTTTTATAAATTAATAAGTCTTGGAAAATAGCAGTAAAAGTTGAACACTTAAAATCTAAAAAAAAATAAAACAAAACCAATTTACCAGAAATACCTAAACCATGAACTTTCCAAAGACAAAATTCACTTAAAAATATTCAGTACCAAACAAGGTTTTCATGACTCAATCTGTTAAATGGCTCCCTTTCCAAAAATAAAAATGGTGCAAAAAGTGTTAAGTTTCAGATCTTATTTTAAACAATTCAGTTTTTCTAAAAGAAAAAAAAAAAAAAAAATTCCTGATCAAACTAGAATAATACAGAAAATTTGGTTGAAGTCATTCAAGCCATCTTCGAAATATCACAGACATTCATTCTCACCTTTGACTTTTATAATAGCTTTAACAGTTTTATATTATACATTGATAATTGATAATCTTCTTGTGTACTTTTTCAACAGGGCAAAAATCTTCAAGGTGCCTTTTGGTTTGCTGTATTGTTAAACTTTAAACATATCTTTCTGTATATTTCACCGGCATATTTCGTCTACCTGCTCAGATGCTATTGTTTTAAATCTACTTTTGGTAAGCAATCAATCTCTTTGATAACTTTTTTCTTTTTTTTTTTTTAAAGATAAAGAAGAAAAAAAATACTCTTAACTTCTGCTCTTATCTTAATTTGATTGAATAAAATGCCAAAAAAAATTAAATTTATCATCAACAACAAATGCTCAGTATGTGCACCTAGTGTAGCAAATATTAATGTGAAACTTATAAGTGAATCTTTTCTTGCCTAACGAGCAGGTCAGACTGGGCTCTCTAGCTTTGATTGGTGACCAGTCTAGAGGAAGGACAATTCAAAATCAGTTACATGCCAAGCTAGAAACTCTACCCAGTAAAAAGCTACTTGCTATGGAAACCGCCATAACAACACCTATTGTGGTGAAGCTGTGCCTCTATACTCCCCAGAGGAGTCAACAGGATTAACACAACACAAGGCCAAGCTTGTTCACTCAATAGTATTTGTTTATTTTATTATCCTAACATTTACTCCATAGAGAGCATGAATGGTCAAGTAAACTGTTATTGTGATTGGTTGATATTTGTTACACTCGTTCACAACTTTGTTGATGCAAGCAAGAATATATTTGTTTAAATTGAAGGACAGTTTTATTCATTACATTTTTTTGTTTTTTATTTTTTTTAGTTCTCAACCTATAATCTTTGTCTTTTAAACATTGATGCTTTGTATAAGAAAAAATATTAAGCTTCATTTTAATAACCTATCATTAATTCTGTATTGTCAACAGGCATTTCTTTTTTCTACTTAACACTGCCATTATTTTTCAAAAGTTATGCTGTACAATATGTTGGCTTATGATCAAATGATGCTAGAAACACTGGTTCTCATTTGATCACAGAAATTAAGCAATGTCAAGCTCAGTCAGTACTTAGATGGGGGACCACTTGGGAATGCTATAAGCAACCTGATGTAATGAATATGCATACACCTGGGTTCCCCCTCACAGTAATATGATTGGCTGGTGTCAGCCATAAACACAGATGTGGAGGTACATGAACTATGCCTATTGCCTACCACTACGACAAGGATCAGTCCATTACGGTTACCTGCTAGATTGTACTACTCGGTTACAGTAGGCAACAACCACTTTGCTACTTCGAACAAATATATCCCTTTCCGGGACATATCACAACCACTTACAGTCCAAAACATATTTTGGCTTTAAATAACCCAAAAAGGGTTGATAAGCTGTAAAAAATCAAATCCATCAATCGGAATCACAAGCTGAATAAAGAATGGCTTAATGATCATCAGTACAGAAAATCAAATTCACATTTCAAGTTTTTATTCCTACTCAGGCTGCTTGTATCATCCAAGAACTAATTCTCTTGCATGAATCCACATCCCTGAATTCTTTCTTGTTACTGGATATAGTGATGAAATATCTCTTTAATGGCATATGACGATGTTTGTCAGAGAAAACTTTTGATCACTAATTCTTCTTGCCCAAACCATTGTCTCATAACATAAAGTGGACGGGCTATCCTCATTGTCAATTTTGATGGGCTAGATACCAATAAAGTATAGATTACCTATCCAATATAAGAAAAGTAAATTTGTCAAAATATATTCTTATACAGAAATGTACATAAACCTTAACATTTAACAAATAATTCTAATTAAATTTAAACTACACATTTCTTCATTTTTTTTTAAATGACTTTTTAATGTTTCTTTTTTAGAATTGTTTCTTTTCATAAACACTCCTGTTAATACCACTTTTGTTTATATTTATGGTTTGCATTTTTTGATCTTTTATAATTCAATGAAAATTTAATCTCTTTTAATTTTTTTTTTTAATTTTTTTTTTAAATGTCTCCTTTTTAATGTTTCTTTTTCTTTGTAAATTGTTTCTTTTTATGAACACTCCTGCTAACACCACATCTTCTGGATCCATTTTGGTTTGCATTTTTAGATCATTTATAATTTGGTAAAAATCACAATTTTTGCTTTTAATTCTTAATTATTGCTTTTACAGACACAAAGATTTCCTGGCGTTCTTTTTCCTTCCGTAGATTTATTAGTCTTGGACTTGTTGTTTTGAGTGTGTTTGCAATATCATTTGGACCTTTTATTTACCTGGTAGGTGTGTCCAATTATATATATTATAGTTACTCGATTATGTTGTTTTTTTGTTTTTTTTTAATTATCATTGATAACTCTTTTTTTTTCTTGATTGTCAATGAATTTCTATAGTAAAATCATTTTTAGTGCTTTGTTTTAGTCAAATGATAGTGTGTGTATTTATATAATATTTGCACATATGTGTACATACCTTCTGTTAGATATGCTTGCCTAAATTCTGATTAACAGTGCACAACACTAAGTATAGAAACTTGTTTAAAAAAAATTCAAAATAAATTGCAAAATTTGACATTTTAAAATTCTTTTCTTACTGCTAGAAATATTTAGCAGAAAATACATAAAACCAAGATAATGAAAGTCATGGGAAAATCAGTGGGCAAAGCCTTGCTATGTTAGTTTCAAAAGCAACTGACAATAAGATTCAACTATGATTATGTTTTCATTTTTCCTTCTTATGCTGATGTCAGAATTTTGTACCCCAATTAAATGTTATCACAAGAATGAATGAAAGATTATTTATGTGTTTAATAAGTTTTACCAGAGATGTGGTTTGAGCAAATAGCTTACAAAATACTGCCTCTTACCTGTCATATTATTACACTATAAAAACAACAATTTTGGGAAAACATTTTAATGTAAACATTTTTGTTGTTAAAAATTATATTAGCATAAAATTATGAACAAATATCTCTTAATATAATTTATTTCAAACTATTGTTCTAATCTTAGTTGTTACAGATGTTATTATAGGCACGTTTCAGCCAAGTATCCTCTGGACATCATCATATCTTATGAATATATTGAAACAAAATTGTTATTTGGCAAAAAGCAGAAAATTTACTGTGATAATATTAAAATAGTCAGACCCATGGAAATTACATAAATTTACTAATAAATTTTTTAATGCTACACTCCAATCCATGACCATTCCCAAATAGAAGAAAAGTGACATAACTAATACTGAAATGTCTTCCAAAAAATCATTAGGAAATGAAATCTGATTTAACCCCTCACTACAAACAATTACCTTTACTCACCTCCAATCTTCCTGTCTCACACTATATTTTTGTCTATGTCCCTCCCTCCCTCCCTCTCTCTCTTTGTTTTACTTACTTTGTCCCTCTCTCTTTCTGACTCCTTCTCAATTTCTGTGATACCAAGGCATGGCACACACCATATGTCAGTACAAGCATATTAATATATAGAACATTGATTTATTGATAGTTTTCCTCATTCAGAAATGCCCATTACTCCTCACCCAGCAGTTTTTTTTAACTTTTTATTTTTACAATATTGGGAAAAAAAATGAATCTGACTGTTCCCACCTCCACCTATAGGTTAAACAGCAGGATAAACTGGGGTCTATAGCTTAAGTCTAGAAGAAAGAAAACATCTGAAGCCAACAAGAAACCCCTTCACTATCTTTCCCAAGAAACCCTGGCAATTCACAGGTAATAAAGAAAATTATACCACCCCAGTAAGTACCTGACTCTTCCTGGTATCCTCTACTTTTACAAAGGCCTAATCAGGCTGGAAATAGACTACTGCTGCCATATATGGGTGGGAGCTGACCAGGCTTCACTTTCCAGTCTTGACAGAGTCCAAAATTGTCTCCGCACCCTTGTAGGTGATAAATTATTTTCTACTCTACGATCCCTTTCTCATAGACGAGACGTCACAAGCCTCTCGTTACCCTATTGCTATTTCCATGGAGAGTGTTCAGATGAACTACACTCCTTAGTTCCACTAATCCTAACCATAACAGCTAAGATCCTCCATGCCATGCATATTGTAGCAAACCACCCTCATTACCTTCCTATTCATCTGGTGAGACGTAAGTTCCACTCAAGCAACTACAACCCACAAATTACTACCTTGTGGTACTGACTCCCAAGAGGCTGCTTTCCCAATTACTAGAATCTTAACCGGTTCATGCCTAGGGTTAACCGCCATCTTCTACAGATATCTACATAAGCATATTTGGTACCTTAAGTAGCCCTTGGGCCTTGTACAGGGTAAAACCACTGTAAAAAAAAAAACCCTGTTCAGTTAGCAGCAGTAGAATGACTATATTCATCATCAATACTGACTGATGAAGGCTGTTTGTTCTTCACTAAAAAAATTTCAACTATTTCATCATCATTCCAATTGATTTTACTTTTTTGACATTAAAATTTTAAATCATACAAAGATAGAAATTCATTTGCACTCTAAAGTATAAACAGTTTAAATTTAATCTTGATATTCTTTAATAAAAACATTACAGTTGCTTCCTTATTACAACTGACTTTTTTTTTTTTCAATTAAAATTTATGGCATTTATCTAAATGTAAATAATCTGCTATATTTTATTTTATAGAAGCAAATCCCCCAAATTCTATCCAGACTTTTTCCATTCAAACGAGGTCTTTGCCATGCTTATTGGGCACCCAATTTCTGGGCAATTTATAATGTTATTGACAAAGCTGCTGTTATTATTGGTAAGTACAAAAAATGTGTATTTTCTCTGCAGTTTTACAATATTTTGTAAATTTCAACAGTCATAAAAACATTACTTTCTTTTCCTCAAATAAAACTTGAGAGTTTGCTCTGCTGAATATTGTTAATATGTAATTATAAAGTACAGTCTGACCTCTTTAATCTGTCACTCTGTTTTCTGACACCTCCCATTGTCTGGAACTTTTTTTTTTTTTGGAATCAGTTGTTCATTAAGCGGGTACAAGAGTAGCTCCACATCTTGTTTACAACTTTCCACAGCAGCAGAGCATTTTTGTGATACGATCTTGCTTAGTACTTATATATAGCTGCATATTTACCCATTCTGGATGCCACCCAAGAAATCAGGAGGTACTTGAAGTAAGAAGCTTAAGCATAAATTTTTATCTTTGCTTGAAAAGAGGGAATTACTGAAGAAATTAGAGAAAAGAATGTCTGTAAAGAGGTCGTGTGAGTACTATGACATCAGATCATCATGTTTTTTTTGGGGGGGGGAGTTATTTCTGTCATTCAGCACTTTCTGTAGTCCTTCAGTTTAAAGAGGTTGGACTGTACTTTGATTATAAATTAATAATATTTACTTATAAAGTACTGTGATGCTTTTTTTTTTCTAAATTTAGTAATAAATATCACTTGTGCTTTTTTAAAACCTAAACATCAAGAAATGTAATCTTCAAAAATAATTACCTTTTTATATACAAAAAAATAAAGATGAAATCTGTATGCATACGTGTTTCACTGAATCTGAAGAAGCTGTAGAGTAGGACAGGCAGTCTTATCATATGGAGGAACGTCCATAAGAACAACACTGGTAACCCATTCATGAAATGGACTAACCCAGCCATGTGCAAGACATGGCACACATGTGAACAATGCAGATATAAACAAGACTAGAGGGAAGCCTGGGAAGGTGGACAGATTGCAACCATCACTCAAGCACTCTACAAAAGTGAACTCATAAAAGCAGATATGGGGACATAAATAAAATAGTTTTGTAAAGGTAGCAGAATAGTTAAAAGTACTGAATTTGGAACTGGTAAGCCAAGTTCAAATTCCAACTGAGTCTGTTATGTTCACTTTCACACTACTGCCCTTGGGAAAGGCATGAATCCATCTCTTTTACTTCTAGCTATGGGCAAAATATCAGGACAGATTGGGTGGCAACCAGTCTAGAACAACAACTGTGGAGAAAGCAATAGGGAACGCAATAGAAATCAATTTGTTCACCACTGCAGTCACCAAGTATTGAACTGGCTTCTGCAGTGGTGAATAAAAAACTTGGAGAGTTGAGTTAAAGGGAGATAACTGACACATCCAGGAGAGGAGTGGCATGTGGAACTAGAACAATCTACCCCGGTGGACAAAATAAAAGGTTCAGTTTGAAATTCCGATCACCTGAAAAAAGTTGGAGCATACAACGGCCGAAACATTGTGAATATGGCAACAAAGATGAGGACAACAATCTGAACAATGTAAATACAATACTTCATCTTAGAAATATAGACAGATAATGTCAGCAATTAACTACATTGAGATTGAAAAACATGTTGATCTTTAAAATATAATATTGTACGTGTCTCATATAATGTTACTATTACTCATAGGCACACAATAAGCTTCTTATGGGAACAGATAATCCTCTTTTCCACCTGCCAGTGTACCTTTATCAATAGCTCTTATATAGTGAAATGAACTTTTCTATTCCCAATTTTATAATGAAATGGACACTATTCCTGGTGGTTTATAAGCTGTGGGTTGATTACTGCTTCCTGAAATGTACTTATGTGTCTTCCTTTTTGATTGAATTAGTTCCATTGCAAAATAAGGAAAAACTTTTATGAAATAAATATCATTATCTGTCTATATTTTTTAGATGAGGTATTGTAATTATTTACACTATTTACATTGTTCAGACTGTTATCCTCATCTTTATTGCCACAATCACATTGTTTTGGCCATTGTACGCTCCAGACTCCTTCAGGTTTTATTTGCTGGATTTTCAAACCAAACTCTTTACTTAGTCTACAAGAGTAGATTGTTCTAATTTCACATGTCATGTCTTTGGATATCTGGGTTTTAGTTTGGTTTGGTTTTATGGCATATCAACACATCAATGGGTTATTTAATGCCAACAAGGATAGATTCGTATAAATAGAATATGTATTCTTTGTAAGAAATCAGTTTATAGATCAGGTTTCATTGATGTATTTTTGTAAAGAGTCTATTTTTCAACTGTCAAATGTATTGCTGGTAATGTTTTTTTTTAAAAAAAATGTATTGCTAGTATTTTTACTATAAAAATCTATTTTTACACTTTCATAGTATTTTGACCCCAGTTTGAGGGTTAACTATTTGCCCATATCTGGGACCCTAATGGGTGCTACCACCCTGGATCAGGGTGGACCTGGGAACAGCAGCAATTGTTTCCACACTTCTCAAAACCTCCTGATCAGAGGCCTTGCTACCGAATGTAGTTTATCGTCATACCCAGGACAGCTTTTGGTTTGGCAATAAAGGTGAGGACAACAGTCTGTATAATGTAAATAGTGTAAATCATCAATATCATTCAAAAATAACACATCATAAATTTCAGCAAATCAACAGACACTACTTAAGTTCCTCATAGTGACTTCTATTTTTAAGAAATATTTTCCAATATTTTAACTATTGCATTAATAAATTAAGGTTTTAAATGAGAAAATAAACACATAAACATCCTTCAAAAAATTTTCTCTTAAACCTTTGCCTGTCCTATGCATCATGCATGGGGCACACAAGCCATGATTTTAAAAGAGTTGTAAAACTAAGAATGCTTAAGAAAAGAGTCTACTATTAAGCAGGACGTCCGAGGCCTAATCTAATATTTTGTGCATTATATATGACCACAAGTGCTTACCTGTTTTCAGATTTATAAATACTGCAAGGCAATTCAGCTTATTTGGCAAATAGAACGTGCTGATATATATTGTTTCACATAATAAAAACTTGTGCTTCACATGTGTTGCACAGAGCGTAGTGTAAATAACTTATGATTTGTACATTTTTGTTATGCAAAACACTATATATCAGCAGATTCTATTTGTCAAATAAGCTGAGTTGCCTTGCAATATTTATAAATCTGAAAACGAGCATAAACATTTGGATACTACACACAAAAATGTCCTGCTCAGTCAAAGGGTTAATACCAGAAAAATGGTTTAATGAAATCAATCTTTTAACAAAATAAATCATTTATTTTCATGAATTATCTTAAATAAAATCAAGTTGATCATCAAATATCAAAAGAAAAAAAAAATCACTATTTTCAAAATTTACCATTAGGGAAGAAAGTGTTAATCAAGACTGTACAGTGCCATTTTTTTAAAACAGATTTTTCAGAAAACAGTTTTTCTTTTTTTGAAAATTGCTTATCTGATAATAAACTGGGTTTTTCAATAAATTCTAGAAAACCTACTTCATTCAGTTGTACTTAATCAAAATTGTTTCATATTTTAAAGTTTTCATTTTTTGTTTGTAGGTTTACGAACTGGCTTACTGGATGCTCACATGATTGGAGGGTCGACAATGACAGGGGGTCTAGTCCAAGAGTTCCGACATACAGTACTGCCTTCAGTCAAACCACACATTACTCTCCTCTTAACAATCATCTCCATTTTGGTAAGTTAACCCCTTAGAAGAGAACTAATCCAAAATCTACAACAGAATTTGCTATTTGCAACATAACTAAATGTTATTATTTCTACACTAGCTCATAAACATGAAACAATATATTGTAAACAGGAACAATATACCAACCACTACATTACCTTTCAGCTATAGGGGTAATGGTAGCTTGTTTGGAGCTCTTCAATTCTGTAAGGCTGTCCATTA